AAAAGATAAGGAGACATATGACAAAAAAGGAAAGTGTAAGAAAGAGAAAGAAAAGAAAAGGAAATATCGAAAGACATTGGTATAACTGTGGTTAAAAAATGAGAAGGTAAAGTAATAAAATGATTCTTGTTACATTTTCTTCTTGTGATATGTATCTTGTTTTTTTCTCTACTGCTTGTTTGACACTGCCCAGCACATATTTAGGTGGAGATGTTTGCGCTTTACAAATCTTTATTATTATTATTATTATTATTAATAGGCATATTATATTATTATAAGACCTATTATTTTTATTGTTATTACTATTATTAATAGGCATATTATATTATTATAAGGCCTATTATTATTATTAACAACACGATATTCAAACTTAAAACAATGATTAATTTAGTCTTTTTGCAAGTACACGACTTTTAAAATCAATCAAGAGATTTTTGCTTTTCTCCCCTTTTTAACTTTCACTTTTGTATTAGTAATATTGCGACTACACTATTGTGAGTGGAAATAACATCAGTCTATTGTCAAATAAAGTGAAATCACCTCGACCTGACAAAATAACGTAAAATTATCAGCCATACATACTGACAAATCAAAAAAGCTCCAAAAAATACGAAATGGTGCGTCTTGGCAGTTTAGTTGATGGTGGATAATGAATAGCAAAACCTGGTGGTTGTGTGTTCGATTCCCACATGTAAATCCAAATTAAAAATAGAAAATACAATATCAAAAATGGATTATATAATGTTGTTCTTCCTTGAGTCTGTGAATAATTAATTAATAATGATATTAATAATAACACTTCATTTTATTGAATTTACTGGTATTTAGCAAAGTTAGGGTTTGGTTTTATTGTATTTATTCTCAGAAAACATTGAAGACAAGAAAAAATAAACATGCATGATTTATTGAATTTACTGATACTTATGGAAATTCATATATAAACAATATAGATAATAATAATCATTATTGGTTTCATTTTATTTATTCCCAGAAAACATTGAGGACAAGAAAAAATAACATGCATAATTTTTTTGAATTTACTGGTACTTATGGAATTTCATATATAAAACAATATAGATAATAACAATAATCATTAATATCAATTTTATTATTGTTATTATTATTATTATTAACAACACGATATTCAAACTTAAAACAATGATTAATTTAGTCTTTTTGCAAGTACACGACTTTTAAAATCAATCAAGAGATTTTTGCTTTTCTCCCCTTTTTAACTTTCACTTTTGTATTAGTAATAGGCCTATTGCGACTACACTATTGTGAGTGGAAATAATATCAGTCTATTGTCAAATAAAGTGAAATCACCTCGACCTGACAAAATAACGTAAAATTATCAGCCATACATACTGACAAATCAAAAAAGCTCCAAAAAATACGAAATGGTTCTTCTTGCAACATTATCGTGTTTCACGCTGACATTAGCTGTTTTTAGGTCATTTTTTGTCTTTCCACAGTCGTATCTGGCAAATACTTGTCGGATTTTTGTATTCCCTTCTGCATTTGGAAGGCAATTCTTTTCTCATTGCTTTAGTATTTGTTTCAATTGTATTGCTTGAAAAAGATCACCGTCATTTTTCACTTTTCTATTGGTGCTATGCTGACCGCCCACTGCGCGTGAGGCTGCATTTTGACCTCTTTTTAGTGACTTCGTTTAAATTGACATTTCGGCTGTTCACCAATCAAATATCTTGTTGTTCATTTTTTAAGGCAGTTTAGTTGATGGTGGATAATGAATAGCAAACATGGAGGTTATGTTCGATTCCCACACGAACCATTTTTTTCCCTTTAAGGCAGTTTAGTTGATGATATATAATGAATGTATTGTACTCGTTGATGACGTCGCGAAATAACAACAAACAACAACCTGTCATGTCCGAGCCTAGGCCGTCATGGAAGCTCACTGGCTCCTGTGTAATTCATGTTGAGCCATTCAGAGATAAGCTGGAAGAAAGTTTTAGACAGTGCCCATCAATAGAAGGATTTTAATACTGAGGAATGGAAGTTAGCATGGCTGTAAATTGTGATTGTTAGATCGTACGAGGCGGATACCCTACGCTATTTACACGATCTTTTGTTACTTTTACGCCAGTGACGTCATGGTAAAATCGTATATAATCGCCTATAACTTCATAAAAAATAGCCAAAAAACGATTTTAAGGTTGATTCTATTATTAACGGCATATCAAAAATTAACTCTAGAACAAAAATCATTTTGCTAGTTCTCTTTTAAGAAGCCTACTTCTCCAAATAATGGACTAGTAAGCTAATGCACTTACTATAAAACTTTCCACTAATCTCAATTGGTCCTCAAGTCATCTCTCAAAAATACCATGCCTACTTAAGTTGCTTATATTATATTTGAAACCACAAGCGTTTCTTTATGTTTTTTAATGGCTCAGTTATTAATATTTAAATACATATTAAATACATTTTTAAAATATTAATTCTTAATATTAATTTCTTTTTTTTGTCATTTTGTATTTTAAAATAGCTTGACTTTATCACCAATTTAAGCATTCTTTCTCTTTGCATCTTCTGGTCGAGTAGTGCAATTTGTCCATTTCATGTAACTTAAACCCAAATGGAATTAAGTATTATCGATGATTACCTGTTCTTTGACGGCTTTGGGCAGTGCCGTGAAGCTATACATTGTGTACGATATTACTATCATCTTTAACGACCAAAAAACATTGAGATTCTTAAAATAAAAGAAAGAAATATCATATGAAACACAAACTTGTTGGTTACTTTAACGAACCAGAAAATCAATAGTTTATGTATGCATGTATGTATGTACAGTATGTATGTATACATGTACGCATTGCATATTTAAATTGTGCTGATTTCAACTCGGTGTTAATTCACTATGTTTAGACTATGGTTTCCACTTTATAAGAGTCTTAGAAACCATTTCTGTAAGTCTATTATCGTGATGAGCTAATGTTTATGATTATGATTGCAACCACTTCCAAAGACAAAAATATTATCATGTCTTAATGTTCATAAGAGTAAAACCAAAACCATCCCAAAACGATTTCATTACGAGGCAAAAATTATTGAAGTAATTATGGATTTTCAGTATCACCTTGGTAACAATGGGTCAGATATAAACTATAGCATGTAAACGTAGAGTATGTTTACTATTGGATTCTTGTTGTATAAATTAAAAATGTTTTTTTTTGTAATTTCGATGAAGGCAATAAAAATTTCTAAAGTACGATCCATTTCTATTGTATATATAAGAGAAAATGAGAGTTTTAATACCAAAAATAGAAAATATTTCAGAATATAATCATTATTACCAATGTATTATTTTCACTAATGATTAGAAAATGATATGTTCAATGATAAATTGCCATAGATCAAAAACACAAACAATGACTTAAATTTCTAATAGCAATCTATTTTTTCTACAGTATTTATAAAAACGGGTTTTTATATATATATATATTTTTTTAAATTCATTATTGTGGCACATGGGCCAATGATAGCAAATAGCGAACTTAATTAATCACTGTTCTATTCATAGGTGGCAATCATTTTCACAAGACAAATGTAAAGCCGTCCACTCAACGCGTCGCACGCCCACCGGTAAACGAATCCAACTCCTCTCCCCGTGAGCGTTAGACGATGTGACCTGATTGTCGGTGGGAGTCGGCACCGATCGTCATTAAAAACGATCCGTTACGCGTGTCGTGGTGTTGCGTTCTCTACACTGAGTTACGATAGCTGACGACCATCTGGCGCAGCGAGTGCCGAGCTCAATAGACAAGCTGAGTCTTAGGAAGTGGAGTTGACAAAAACCCCAACAGGAATTGAACCCAGGACCCTGGGATTGGAAGGCAAGCATCTTAACCATCAAGCTACAACCCCTGTCTTTAAACACTGTATTAAAAGAGAACTAGCAAAATGATTGTTTGTTCTAGAGAGGATTTTTGATATGCCATTAATTTTCTCCCCTTTTTAACTTTCACTTTTGTATTAGTAATATTGCGACTACACTATTGTGAGTGGAAATAATATCAGTCTATTGTCAAATAAAGTGAAATCACCTCGACCTGACAAAATAACGTAAAATTATCAGCCATACATACTGACAAATCAAAAAAGCTCCAAAAAATACGAAATGGTTCGTCTTGGCAGTTTAGTTGATGGTGGATAATGAATAGCAAAACCTGGTGGTTGTGTGTTCGATTCCCACACGAACCATTTTTTTTTTTTTTTTTTTTAAGGCAGTTTAGTTGATGGTGGATAATGAATAGCAAAACTGGAGCTTGTGTGTTCGATTCCCACACGAACCAGGGCTTCCAGACCTCTGACGATGGCTGAAGCCTATACCAAAGCTTCGCATTTTTGCAGGCATAATGCCCAGACAGGATTGTTCATTCAATATTGAAATTAGTGTTTTGATGGTGTTTTTTTTTTCATTCAATTGGAATTCATATTCTGGTTTAATTTAATTAATTTGTTTATAATGGACTAGTAAGCTAATGCACTTACTATAAAACTTTCCACTAATCTCAATTGGTCCTCAAGTCATCTCTCAAAAATACCATGCCTACTTAAGTTGCTTATATTATATTTGAAACCACAAAGTTTCTGTATGTTTTTTACTGGCTCAGTTATTAATATTTAAATAGTTGTTTTCCATTTTAAAATACCAAATACATTTTTTAAAATATTAATTCTTAATGAAAAAAGTTAAGAAAAATTTCTTTTTTCTGTCATTTTGTATTTTAAAATAGCTTGTCTTTATCACCAATTTATGCATTCTTTCTCTTTGCATCTTCTGGTCGAGTAGTGCAATTTGTCCATTTAATGTAACTTAACCTAAATGGAATTAAGTATTTCACTTTTTGGGCAATTCATTTTATCTGAGTTGCTCTGTTGTACATGTGTTCGATTTTTTTCAATTATAATGTCAATTATAATGAAATGTTCTGACTATGGCTGAGAAAGAAATTATATCAATCAACCAATAAATCAATCAGCAACACATTTGCTTTTTAATTTCTTTCATACAAAACCACCAAATACCCCAAAAATTAATTTAAAAAAAAATTGTTACGATTGGTAGAGTGACCAAATACTGATTAAATTATCTTTTGCCCCAGCTGCGAGTAAGCGATAGCCGTCAAATTCTGGGAGGGGGGATGAGAAAGCCATGCTGACAATGCTCTCTGTATGGTAGTCCAGGACAGCGAGTGGTTTACATTTCTTGAATGTGAACAAACGGATTCTGAAATGAGGGAGAAGAAATGATGGATTGTTTAATACCATGAGAATTTATAATAGTATTCATGTTTAAAAGAAAGTATCCATTAATATTATTAAAGTTTTATGAATAAATTATCATACTTTAAAATACACACCTGGAATCCCATCCACCTGTTGCAAAAATTCTATTATCCTGTCTAATTTTGATGTCGGACAGGCCTGCATTTGTTAGTTCATGCTCCTTAGTTAATGATATTCCCTGATAAAGAGAGAGAATATTTGTTACACTCATAATTTTGAAATGTTTAAAACAATAACAAATTTTTGACTAGTGTACAGTCGACCTGAGCGAAGATGAATGGGCCTATATAATAATTTAAAAAAAAAAAAAAGCTTGTACGTCCCCACCCACTCGTAAAAAGGCTCGAATGAACTCAAGAAGCAAAGAAGCAACTAATCATTTTAAACATTTTGTTTATTAACTGGTACGTCTTATTAATGTGAGGTATATCCCTGCCTAATTTTAATTATCTTCCTTGGAGAGATTGTTGACAGTGCAGCTTTGAGAGTTGATTCTAGGTTTTGGATTGACAATCATTTCTAGCTTTCGTCTTCGCCACTACTACGCCTGGGTGTATCTCTCTTAAGTTGAGCCCTTTATAGGACTGGCCGCTATGCAGAAGTATTATTCCACTATGATTTGAGATGCACTTTACCAAAAAAATTATTTTTTTTTAGTCAGAAGCAATTTTGCGACCCTCAGAAATGTTTGGGGACCTAAATTTGGGTCGCGACCTATAGGTTGAGAAGCAGGGCTCTACACTACACTAAATTTCTAGCAGTATTCTCTTTACATTCAAAAATAACTGTTCAAAAATTCACCATATGAGTAGATTAGACAAGATTAATTGGCCTTTATTACCATACACTAACAATACATATCAATACATACATAACAATAAAAGTATGAAATATAGATGGATTTTTAATGCTGTTTATTGGGATACATAGATTGTGTGAGGCATAAATAATAGGTCATTATGAATAAAATCCAACAATTTATTGCAAATATTTATGAGGAAGGGAGAGACTTCATATGTTTTTTGGGTATTATGATAAAACAGATGAATACACCCACAGAATACAGATGGTCTTTGAATGGTGTGTATTCTAACTTTCTATCAATTTATTCCTTTGGTGCCTTCAATAGATAACACAGAATACAACTGAATGGAACATAAACTATTCATAATGTATCATGCTTTAGGCAAAAATTCAAAAATACAGCCATTTTAGCTTATTTAAGAAGACATCAACATGTTGCCAATTGGCATAAAGCATGTGTAAACACCTTGATGGCAGAAGGATTTTAATAAAATGCCAAGAATAAAAATGACTACAATCCTAAGGCAACCATCGCACAATGTTGATGTAAGTCAGCGAGTACATGCAGTGTATATCAATACCAATCAGGAATGAAGAAATAACTATGTGCATATTTTTTACAAGCTCAAAAATCATGAGAGTTACTTAAATATAAAAAAAATATAATAATATATATTAATAAAAATAATAATAATAAAATGCAAAGAATAATGACTTTGAAATAATTTACTATTATAAGTGATCATCTCACAATGTTGATGTAAGTCTGTGAAGAGCACATGTAGTGTACATCCATACCAATCAGGAATGAAGAAATAAGGATATTTATTTTTTTGAAAGCTAAAAATCACAAGAGTTACTTTAATAAATATAATAATATATATTAATTATTAATAATAATAATATTAATATTTACCATAACAATAATAATAATAAAAAAGCACCACTCAGTAGAGAGTATACATCTCTGCCTACAGCAAATCTCTTTCTATATACAGTAGAACCTGGATTTTACGTACGGTACGGGACCGGAGGCGTACATAAATCGGGGGATTTGTATAATAGAGGTTGGGTTAAATTTGCGGTAACATTTGACCTAATATGTACGTACGTACGAACGATTTTACCTAGGCTAGACCTAGCCTCTAGGCCTACAAATAAAACCATGTGTTTAGTGTTTTTATTCATCACTTTACGATGTCATAATAAAGTGTTCAAATAAAACCATGAGTCTAGTGTATTAATTCATCACATTATATATTTTATTTAACTAAAATAAAGAACATGAAAATATTGTAAGATACGACAAAGGTATAACTTGAGAATTCTCCTTCATGCCTATTCTAAACAACAGAGCTGTGGTGTTGTCTGGGCCTGTTGAGACAAACGAAACCATGTGCGCTGCACTGGGCGAGCTAACCAATTAGCGTTCGTGTACGTGAAACAGCAACCATGTGCTATGCACTGGGCGAGCCAACCAATTAGCATTCGTGTACGAAACTATGTCTACTCAGCTTTGTGTAGAAAATTCGACCAGATGAGTTCTTCCACACGGTTTGCCACACGAAGCTAAGGAGGAAAGCAATTATTTTGAGCACCATCGGTAGTTGCTCATCTCACTCAGTTCATGTGGATTTAAATTATAACAACGCAGTATTAGACTCAATAAGCGTTGCAGTTTAATGAAAATATGTTGCATTATGGTTTGTTTATTGTTATAGTTTGTTGTTTTAGTCTTTTTACTTATGGTTGCTCTGAAAAGGGCCGTTTGTTTTGAATATTTTCAGGGGTTTTTGATGACGTCATCGTCGATACGAGGCGTACGTAAAACCGAGGGTTCGTATAAAATATTGCATCCACAGTAATAATTATAATACTGTATAATATAATGATTTACTAGTATGGTTTGTATGGTTGGTTGTAGTGTATTATTATATATACAGGTGTGAAACTATCCCCCGCCGGACACCATTCCGGTATTTCTGAGTCAAGGTTTTAGTGCCTAAATGGTCATACTGCACAATAAAATATTGCATCCATAGTAATATAATATCTGTCTCTTATACACATTGTGCTATGCACTGGGCGAGCCAACCAATTAGCATTCGTGTACGAAACTATGTCTACTCAGCTTTGTGTAGAAAATTCGACCAGACGAGTTCTTCCATGGTTTGCCACACAAAGTTAAGGAGGAAAGCAATTATTTTGAGCACCATTGGTAGTTGCTCATCTCACTCAGTTCTTGATGACCTCATCATCGATACGAGGTGTACGTAAAACAGAGGGTTCGTATAATTGGGGTACGTAAAAACGAGGTTCTACTGTAAATAAATCTATTGTATTTTTTATTGTAATGGTAATGGTAAACACACTTAATAAGATGTTAGATCATCACCAAAATTTAATCATCTCGTCTTTCGGTTATACCTAACACTGCCTGTAAATTTTTTTTGAACACTCACACCCACACCCACACAAACTACACGACTGATACAGTATCTCCTGTAGGAGATAACAGTAACATTGATAACAATAAGTGAAAACAAATTAATAATAATGATGATACTGATGTAACATAATAATAACCACAATGCAACAATTACTTCAAACAAAATCAATTAGAATCAAATTACAATCAATGAAGTATGTTCATTAAAATTTTCTTTTAATGTTAAGTACAATTTTAAATTAAGTACAATATGGATGCTAACATGAAATGATCACAGAAGCAGGGGATGACATTTTAACTACAAAAAAAAAACCTCTTTAGAGAATACTGTATACTACAATTACTATAATTTTTATGTATTTGAAATTCAAACTACTTACAGTTGAGTCGATATGCCAAAGTTTGAGAGAATTATCTACTGACCCAGATATACCTTCCATTGTTATTGATGAGCAATCAATACACATCACTATAAGAAAGAGAGAACAATTAATGTAATTCATAAAATGTGGGCGTAGATGAAATGTAATCATTGGGTTATATCATGTATGTATTAATGTGTATAACTATAATATTTTATGTTATATCATGTATGTATTAATGTGCATAACTATCATATTTTATGTTATATCATGTATGTATTAATGTGCATAAGTATCATATTTTATGTTATATCATGTATGTATTAATGTGCATAACTATCATATTTTATGGTACAATAAAGTGATACCGTTTAATCTAAATCCTCGTCCAGACTATCAAATGTTGTTCCACAACAACACATGACATGCTTAAATATGGTCACGATGACATCATATTGTAGTATACAGTATTTACCTTTCATATTAATTAAAATTTAAAGCTTAGATTTAAATACAGGTCTCCCTCTAATTGAAGACAACTTTCAGGACCGGAGGGTTTCCATGTTCCTTAGCAGATTTGGTCTCCCATTACAATAATAAAAAAGATAAAAGACATTTGTAAATTTGGCACCACAAAATAGTGGTCTTTAATTGGAGGTGGTCCTTAATTGGAGGGGTCTTACATTGAAGGGAGACCTGTATGTCTTATATAATAAAATGGTACTTTTGTACTAAATAACAGTTGTAAATATTTTCAACACAATGCCAGTGGTATGGCTGACATATATATTCTCATTGCATAATAAAACATTGCTCTGAGTGTATTTTTATCTTCTAACGTAGTCAAATATAGTCATACATGCTAGTTACTAAAACATCATGACCATATATAGGAACATCATGACCATATATAGGCACATCATGAACATATATAGGCACATCAGGACCATATATAGGCACATCATCACCATATATAGGCACATTATGACCATAAATGGGCGCATCATGAGCATATATGGGCACATCATGACCATATATAGGCACATCATGACTATATATGGGTATACATCAGTTTTTTTGTCAAAGAAAATTTGATAGTCTGGACTGAGCTTTTCCATTTTGCGGCAACGTTACAATTACACATAAATTTTGAATGTGAAAGAGCAGGAATCAGATTTCAATTCCCTGGGGCCCCAATTTATTATTAAGAACATGTCCAATTGATCATGATAAATATGCTCCTAATTCTATTGTTATACCAGTCTTAAATCGATTCCTAATTTTGATTGGATGTTTTTGTATGCATGGATTGGATTTGGATAATAATATCAAATCACAATTAGGAATTGATTTAGGACTAATGTACCTATAGCCACTGTCTAAAAGGTATTATATATAGAAATATGTAATCACCTGGCTCGCAATGTAGTTTCAATTTTGACAACAGTTTTTGCTTCCTGGAATCCCATAATGCAACTGTACCATCTTCATAACCGACTAAAAGCTGATGAGTAGATATCCATTCCATACACATCACCATTCCTAATTAACATAAGTATTAATCAATATAATTAATTGTTGGAATTAGGAATATTGACTGAATAATTACAGTCATACTTAATCAATATTAACATTAATACTGTTTTATTATAATTAATACTTCTATAATTGCAATATCCTATTATTGGTATTATATCATTTTTTGATATATTTATCATAATAAATTAATAAATTAATATCTTCATCATGATTTTCATCATCACCATCATCACTTAAATAATTACCACCAACATAAAAAAATAACCAATCAAATAAAACAAATAAATGTATATATAAAAAAAATAATTAAATATATCAATTAAGATGTATTTCAAACACAATCACAATTACGGTGATCATCACCACCATCATCATTGACACCATCATTTACATCACTTATTTATTTTTATGTTCTTTATACTGGGTTTCCTCTTCAGTAACAAATTACTGTTCTCCCAGAGGGCCCAGTACAAATAAAACAGTCCACGACACACAAGACAAACATACACACATGATGCTTTACACAAACTAAATCTCAATATGAGGTTTAGGAGTGGAGTTGTTTTTGGTCATGAGAAAAAGTCCTGCAACTGAGAGGAATTGAACCCAGGACCCTGGGATTGGAAGGCAAGCATCTTAACCACCAAGCTATTCGACTCCACTCACTGACATTGACACATCATCATCATGGACATATCTCGGACATTGACACCATCATCATCGACATCATCATCGACATATTCATCGACATCATCATCGATATCATCATCGACATCATCATCAACATCTTCATCGACATCATAATCGACATCTTCATCGACATCTTCATCGACATCATCATCGACATCTTCATCGACATCATCATCGACATCATCATCGACATCATCATCGACATCATCATCGACATCATCATCGACATCATCATCGACATCATCATCGACATCATTCAACATCTTCATCGACATCTTCATCGACATCATCATCGACATCTTCATCGACATCTTCATCGACATCATCATCGACATCATCATCGACATCATCATCGACATCATCATCGACATCATCATCGACATCATCATCGACATCATCATCGACATCATCATCGACATCATCATCGACATCTTCATCGACATCATCATCAACATCTTCATCGACATCATCATCGACATCATCATCATATTTAAAATAGTGTACAATTAAATGTTTGTCATTGACCATATGATTCTGGTTTATCTGGTATCAGGTTGCAGATTGGCTCCCCATCCTCTAAATGGAAGAGTCTAGTTGTAGCAACTTCACAAGTTGGTGTTGCAAGCATGTGACTTCCATTATCTATCAAACAAAACAAAAAGATTACTTCAGTCAGTTGGATGCAAAAAGGGAGAAGAGTAGTAGCAATGCTAGCAGGGGAGGGGCAGGAGTTAGGGGACAATTTCTTTTCATGAACCAGACCCAGATCAAAGCTCTAGATGGCCCTTTGGTTCAAACCTTTTGTGGGACTTGTTGAAGCCCCTGTAAGCAAATTTCTGGAGCCACCACTGAGGAGGGGGTATTAGCCTATACATTCAAATATTAATTGAGAGGTTTACTGTCCTAGGCCCTTATACATTTCAATTTGTTTTTCATAAGGCCATATACCCTTAGCTACAACAGAATTCATTGCTGACTGACCCATATTAACCTTAGAACTGCTAAAACTGCAGAGACACTTTTAGAGACCCTCTTTATGGGAGCCCAAACAAAGAATGAGAAGTTAGCATTGATTTTGTACGCATCTGCTGAAGCTCCGTTCTCAGAGGTTGTTCTAAGTTTGTTTTTTGTTATCATGTGCACAGTTTATCATAAGTTGCAAAGTTTTCATTTTTAATTTTGTACATCATTTTTCTATTTCGAAGTGCTATTTTGTGCATGACAATATGTGAATAAAAACTGAACTGAAACCGCAGCTAATTATTGTAATTAAAAAACAAAAATGATTAGATAAGATTTTGTGGACTTCTATGTATAGTTACCCTGGCCCAAAACCATTAAACTTTTCTCTCTTTTTTTTAACAATTTCTCTTTTCCTAGAGTAAAATTCAAATGCTGTACCTTCAACTGACAGTGCGCATTTACAAAAGCTGACTGAACTAACAGGAAGTTGCTTAATGACCTCTTGACGACCTTCGCCTACATCCCAGATGCAAACACTTTGATCCCTCCCTTGACTAGAAAAGACCAAAAAACTGTGTTAAATTACTGAATAAAACATAAAAATAAACAATTGTCAACATGATACCAAAAAAATGATATAAGCAGAGTTTTTTTGTATAATTTTAATCATAAACAAATGAATAAAAACCTTATAAGCTTGTTTTGGTGGTATTCTTCGACCCAAATTACAGCATCCTTGCCATGTCCCTGTAGGGTGTTTGTTACCCTTCTTGTCTTCAAATTCCAAAAATATATCTCCCCAGTTGAGCACCTAAGGACATGACAAAAAGAAATTAAATAATTTCAGGTTATCCATAGTCATTTATCTATCTAAATACTTAATATGTAACAAAATAAAATAATTAAAAAAATATTTTATTAGGCCTAATATTTAATGAAGAAATATGGGCAACGAAACAATTGAAGAGTAAATTAAATAATTTTTAATTGAGAAATTAAGAAGCTAACAATGATTCCATTAAGAATTAAAATTCCTTTGAATTTAAGACAATTTTCATAAAATTTATCTTGGTCCATAAATTTAGGCAAAGTAGCAAAAAATAGTTTGTCGATCTCTGTCCATGCTGCCAATCAAGTTCTTTGTAATTCTTACAAACATAAATACCAGCAACATATAGTCACTATAATAGCGTAACAATTAATAGTTGCAACTTTCATATTCTCCTACTTCAACCTGTATAGATAAGATTTTAAGTATATGCTTACATGAATAATCTGAGAAAGCAGACAACCAAAGTATATTTTATTAAGTTTGGCAAAGAAACAATTGTTGTTAAAATTTTGCCTAATGAATAATAATACTGTATTAATAACATTTTAAAACCCATTACTATACATATTTAGTTGACTCGCATTAAAAATATTCATCCTTTCTAAATGTTTAAAATATAAACATCCTGATTTAATAGTCATCTGATTATGAAATATGGAAGTGCGAGACATGATACTCATGATATCAAAATGTGCTCGCTGCACTTTTGAAAAAGAACACTTTTCATTCTTTTTTTTTTTATTGGTTCTTTTTTTTTTATTGGTTTTTAATATTTACTCACCCTGTTGCTAAAATACTTTGATCAGCTTCAGCCGCACCAGCGTTGCACTTCATAAAACTAATTGAATGAGCAAATCCACTGGAACCGCGGAGTACAAACAACGGAGACGGTGGTGGCCTAGCCATGTTCCTCAGCATTATTCTACTTATATATTATAGGGCCAACATCTTTGAAAAAACTACATTGTTGCACGTTGGATTACTATTAAGCCTAGGATCATGTTAGCCATCACATTGCTGCAGCTACTACAGGGGCCTCGACAAATATCACGTGTAGTTAGTAGTGCTGTGTGGTGCTAACCAGCAGGAGTGGCCTAGCAAAGAATATGTATACTTAAATATAAAGACCTAAATTATCTTGGTAGCGACGGGAATGAAATGTTAACGTATATATCTAACAATTTAGGTTGATTTCTTAAAACATAATATTCTAGGATTCATTTTACAGTTAATAAAATGACTCATGCTTGTACAAACTCTATCGTCAAAGCGCTCTTGTTTTGACTTGTATAAAACAGAATTTTGGCGGTCCGCTTAGGTTTTACAATCGATATTTCCAAAGTCAGTCCGTCTTTTCAGGCGTCGGCATCAGCTTACCAACACTGTAAGGTAAACATCTAGGCCTAGGGTCTTGTGTTAAATTTGCTTGTAAATCAACTTGATGGAACGAAAAAAGAAAGCAGACATTGCCGATCAATTTCAAAAGAATGGTTAGCATATATTATGTTTTATATAGCGTTATTAGAAACAATTCTTAATCGTATTTACCTGACGTATTCCTAGGCCCCATACCCCTCTATCTGGGCTAGGATAGGCTAGTTAGAGACGGGTGAGAAGTGTAGGAGCGCCGGGAATATTCCTGTTTATTGGTAGGCCCTGGCCTAGCTTATACACTATGTACTGTATATTGCTAAAGTTATAATGAAACATTTGCAGATTTCTTATAAAAATAATAAAAATCCAATTTTGCAATATTAATTTTTATAGAGGAAGTTTAGTGTAGTTGCATTTAATGATTTATAAAAACAATTATACCTATATGGGAATAAGACAAGGTTATTTTAAATATTTGTGTTAGCCAAGCCTAGCCTAGCCTAGTCTCTAGATAGGAACATTTCTTTGCTAAGTATTTAAAGTTAAACCCATTAATGTGCTTTTTTTTAATGAATTTTTATTTTACTTTTTTAAATCATTTTAACTAAATTCAGTATATCTTGAATTAAATTTTGATCATGAAATGTGAAAATATTATTGAATAATATGAATGGAATTTAACTCTTTCATTTTCTAAGATGAAGCAAACAAGACATATGCTGCTTTAGCTGTGGCATTGGTATGTGCAGTGATTGGGCTACCAATGTGGTGGTTAACAACAACTACGTACAGAGCAAACTTACCATACTCACAAATTGAGCAACTTGCCAAATCAAAGGTATAAAAGTACAGATAAAAAGCACCAATTATTTTTTTGACTAAATAAAAAATTTTTTTTTTTAAGATGTACAATTTAATTATATTCAAACATTAGTTGCTAGTAAAGTAACTAATAGTAATATTTTACAAATTTATTATATTTTATTATTACTGTTAGCCTTATTTTTTCATAAAAAGGTGAACAGTTTAATTATGTTCAAACATTATTTGCTGGAATAGTGTATTTACTTATAAGAATATTCCAGAAATATATATTATGTTTTAATATTTTATTATTAGTTATTATTGTGATATTTTATTAATTAGTAATATACATATTTCTCTGTATTTTTGTTGAAAAGCTGAATTTTTAAAGTTGTTTATCTACAGATAAGTGTTGTTGTTCCAACTGATGTATGGCTATGTCTTGACCAAAAGCAAAGCAGAGATACCCAGCTTTATAGAAAACTAGAACAAAAGCTGAGTTTAGGTACCAAACCACACTTTAATATAATTTGATATTGAAATTTGCAGTTTTATTATTATTTTTATTTGATGCAGAACAGATAATATAGTTCACTCCTCATAGTGGGCAATATTATACAAATATTGACTGCTCGTGAGGGGAATGGTGAAATCTATTGCCCCAAGGTGATGTCGAGACCATAGCCCATATTCACCAAGGGGCTATATATTTTACCATTCCTCGAATCTAAAGCAGTCAATATTTGTTTGATATAACTCATACATAGATTCTATGAGACCTAAAAATGTAATGAAAATAGTACACACTAAAGGCCAACTCAGACAGCGTCGGCCGACGCAGCCCGACCCGATTTATCGTCGGGGACAATCTTAAGCCGTCGTGAGAAATTTTAAACACGTTTAATATTCTACTACGCGACTGCCCCCGATGCACACTATCGCGTCTGCGTTCAACTCACACAGACCCGACGCGACAACAAATCGCGTCGGGCTGCGTCGGCTGACGCTGTCTGAGTTGGCCTTAAGTAGGCCTAGGCTTATTTCCATCTGTTTTGCGGTCAGAATTCCTACTTTTTGCTGCTCTGTATGGTTTTGATACTTTATCTAGCTGGTTAAAAAAAACGAGCCAAATGTAGGACTAATCGTCCAAGCAATGAAATTTTTATGGGCTTTTAGTTGTTCATCAAAATCTTATTTCTCCTCATTTAAAATTGCTTTCATTCATGCTAACAGCTATTAGCTTTATTTCAGTAGTAAATTTGCGTGTTACGGACGATCCGCACATAAGACGAACATGATTTAAAATTAAGAAAATTGTATGTGTTGCACGTATAAGATGACCACTCCTGTTTTTGCAATCTTAATTTGCTATTTTAAGTCTTGTCTATACGTGATAATACACGTTACTTCCTTTTTCTTTTTTTTTTAAGGTATTGTGAGATTAGGCGACCTTTCAATTCAATACAAGATTTCACTTAATGAATGCTCTGGTAAAACTGCACATATCTTATCAAAAAGTAAAACACTAAAAGGTAAGTAAATCTTGATTTAGTATTTTTTTTTATAACATTTTTATTTTCATTGTTTTAAGAACATGTTAAGGTAAAAAATCAAATAAATTATTTTCATTGCTGGCTTGGTACAAAGAGAAAGTGTTTTTCATGTACCGTATTTATTTGAATAAATGCTCCAGAGCATTTATTGTTGAGCAGTGGTGAATCTAGGGGATGTGTGGGGGTGCACGCCCCCTCCAAAAAATTCTTGCACCCCCCCAGTCGTCCCTCACAAAAATCACGCTTAAAATCGCCTAAAATGACCTTGCTTTGCGAGCTAATACCCCTCACCTAATCATCAGGCCTTCCCACGTGACCTTTGTACTCCCCAATTAGCTACCGAATTTCATGACTCCTAGATACGCTATTGTTGTTGAGAAGGGTTTTTGAGGGGCGTTTATTCGAGGGAGGCATATGGTGTCAAATGAATACATACAGTATATACTCAACTAAACGGAACTTATATTTTACTGTAAATGCTCATTAGTGCTATTTATAGTTTAGGAGGGGGAATTTGCTCAAGATAAACATAAATGCCCTGGGGCGTTTATTCAAATAATGTAACTATATTCTTTGTAAAGACCCTTAAAATTTGTGGATAATCAATTTAAAGGATTTATTGTTAAGCTCATAAGCTTAAGCTTATTAGATATGTTACCTATATATGTTCATATTAATTTCACATTAACAAGTTACAGTATTTCATAGTTGTCAATGATCTTAATGTTTATATTGATAATTAATTAGCTTTGCGAGCTAATACCCCTCACCTAATCATCAGGCCTTCCCACGTGACCTTTGTACTCCCCAATTAGCCACCGAATTTCATGACTCCTAGATACGCTATTGTTGTTGAGAAGGGTTTTTGAGGAGCGTTTATTCGAGGGAGGCATATGGTGTCAAATGAATACATACATTATATACTCAACTAAACTTCACTTAATTTTACTGTAAATGTTCATTAGTGTTATTTATAGTTTAGGAGGGAGGGGGAATTTGCTCGAGGAAAACATAAACGCCCCGGGGCGTTTATTCAAATTATGTAACTATATTCTTTGTAAAGACCCTTAAAATTTGCTGATAATCAATTTAAAGGATTTTTGTTAAGCTCATAAGCTTAAGCTTATTAGATATGTTACCTATATATGTTCATATTAATTTCACATTAACAAGTTACAGTATTTCATAGTTGTCAATGATCTTAATGTTTATATTG